AAATGTCAGTAAAATAGATTGTCAAGGAGTTGGATTCTGTAAATTAGGACGTCTATGATATCAAATGATTGAATGTCGGGATCTATATTTTATTCTATTAATATAAGATGATACAATGGTTTAATAATTGATAATTATAAATTTAAATTAATTTACCTTATACATATCAGCTTCAGCAAGTTGTTGAGCATAATTTTTATCAATTCCACCAATATAGATGATGATCCCATTTTTCAATAAAACAGCAGTATAATGTTTTAGAGCTTTAGGTGCATTTGCGTTAGGAAGTAATGGATTTGTCAAACTTGTCGAATTAGTATCAAACATAATCATGTCACCATAGATAGAATCATTAGTAACCCTGCCATCATTTAAATATCCTTTATATCCACCAAAAATAAAAATTTTTCCATCGTCATCAATCACTGCCTGCATTGACTGAATAAAATAACTAAAGCCAGAAATATTTGAAGGTTTCAATGAAGAATTTTTGGAATTGAAAGTATATATAAACGGAGGAATACGTGGCTGGTAATTATTCATTGAATCATATTCTGCTCCGCCAATTAAAAAAGCCGTGGTATTGTCAAATGGACTAAGACACATTGTTGAATGGCCATTACCAAACTGAAACGTAGTAGCACTTTTATTCCATGGAGGAGAATCCGTATTAAATGAATTTGATAAGTCAAGATACAGTATTTCATTAGTAAATATATGATTAATCTTGCCTCCGGTGTAACCACCAAAAAAATAAAATTTAGATCCAATTAAAACACTACTCTGATAAACTCTACTATCAGGAATAAATTCACAACGTATGAATACATGCTTAAAAGTTATAATAAGAATTAAACCATAAAGTATTTGAAAAAAATTCATGACTACAAGAAAGGATGACTTGAGTATTTGAGCCGTTGTATAGCAAATTAGAGTGTAAATTTTTTATGTGAAAGCTGATCTAGAAAAATGTCAGTTTGAGAATTCTCTGATTATTTATAACGTACTCATGTTCGTCTATTATAATTATTATATCTATTGTAAATCATAAGAAATTAAAATTGGAAATCTCGAATATATTTTTCTTCTTTACTGGTTTTCATAATGTGCAAATCATGCTGTTTAATATTAGGTTTTACTGTATATAGCTATATATAATGAAAAAAGATCATCAGACCAGTTTCATGTGTAATTGTAGACATTCAATCATTTGATATCATAGACGTCCTAATTTACAGAATCCAACTCCTTGACAATCTATTTTACTGACATTT